ATGTAAGGTTTATTTATTAAGTGTTCTTGAAATTTTCTAAAGAAACTAAAAAAAAAATACCTAAAAAAAATAAAATGACATATATCTTAAAATTTGGTTGAAATATTTATGTGGTGTAACCATATAAATAAATAAGCTTTATTAAACTAATGAATCGGCATTATATAAGGTTTATTTAATAGGTTAGTATTAAAAATAAAAAAAATATATAAAATTGTGTTATCTAATATTTTGCATAAATCCTAAAATGTGGGTGAAATATTTCCCGTGTAGATTTTGGATAATGAAAATCTTGCTGCTACAGGGCAGACCTGGACCACAAGGAATGCCAGGTCCACAAGGTTCACCTGGAGAAGAAGGCATCCCAGGACTAAACGGTGAATCGGGCCCTACAGGGTTACCTGGAGAAAAGGTACAGATGTCACTTGACATACAGTTGCAAAATTTCTCCCAAGTGTTTCCTGTTTTTATCTAAAACATAGAAAAATACATTTCAATTATTTAAAAAAGCTTTTCAGAAATATTACATTAACATTGTAATGTCTTACATGCAAATATATATATATATATATATATATATATATATATATATATATATATATATATATATGTTTTTTGGCCATATTTTTTTCCTTCGTTAAATTAGCCTAAGATTTATTTGTTTTAATTTTTTTTTTTGTTTTTTTGTTTTTTTTTATGGTAACATATTTACAACAATTTGTTAGTAGGAAAGCCTAGAGAATACATATTGGTTCAATAATTTGTTGAGTCCCAACATCTGAGTTGGGGAGTTAATAGAGTCTGAACTTAATTGTGGCAGATTTGATAAGTGTTATACTTCTTCAGAGGGAAAATAAAAAGAAATCAGTGGAGGCATCAGGAGGGAAACTGTAGACATCTACAAATGTTAAAACATTCACCTACAAAACTTCTGTTTGCTCCTTTACTTGTAGCTAATTGTCTTTGTTTGATTTTCTTTGTATATAGGGTCTTAAAGGCTACGGAGGAGACAAGGGCAGCAAAGGGGAGCAGGGTGAGTGGGTAAGATTACAGTGCAATTTACATCTTACAGAGATTAAACACACTCCTGACAAAAACTGGCAATATTTTGTTCATTCTCTCATCAAGATTGGTTGTTATATGTCAACAAACCAACACCTCGTTTGAAAATATTTATCATGCTTACCCTGATAGGTTTTAGACTTTTTTTTTGTCATTTTAACGGTTTTATCTTCCTTCAGGGTTATCAGGGAGAAACTGGTGCTCTGGGACAGAGAGGAAGAAAAGGAGAAAAGGTACAATTAAGAATCCACTCCTTAAAATGTAATTAAAGTGAACATGTCATCTGATTCGTTTGTCTTGTCTTGTATTTAGGGCAATAAAGGGTCCCGAGGGTTTGATGGGATTCCGGGTTATATTGTAAGTGTCGATTTTAAACTTAAAAAAACAAAGACTGACCTTTTTCATTGCTTTTAGTCTCTGATAATGGGATTGTTAACACTCCTCTGAATGTAAAAAGTATTTTTGTCTAATTTGCAGGGCCTTCCGGGGGCCAGGGGCCCTCGTGGTTTCCCAGGAACATCAGGACCTCCGGTTAGTCTAAGAAAGCTAACCGTATCAGACCTAAAGACAATAAAAACAAAAACAAACAGCACAAATACAGTAGCACTGTGACCATATCTCTGACTTAGTAAAAGAAAAAATGATTAAATGTTTCCACAACTTGAACAGGAGGGTACTTCCTATTAGAATCTAACCACATGTGAACTGATTCTACCCACTGTTGCTTTTTAGGGAGAAATTGGAGCCTTAGGCTTTAGTGGTCCTCCAGGTCCACCTGTAAGTATTCACAGCATCAGTTTGCTGCAGAACACCCCGTTCATCATTTGGGTACCTGATTAAATCAGTGTTTTATCTCATCAGGGGGAAATGGGCCCCAGGGGATTAGTAGGATTCACTGGAGTTAAGGGGCCTCCAGTAAGTTATAAACATTTTAAAGCAGACAATGTTAAAAATGAAAATTAAAGACAATAATTAAAGACTTGTTTATGCTTTTAGGGTCATCAGGGGCAAATGGGCTCCAGAGGAGCAGCTGGACCACAGGTGGCAAGATATTAGCATGTATACTCATATAGCAGAAGCTGAAATATGGTTTTAATAAAATACTGTGGTTTTATACAGGGAGAGCATGGTCCAGATGGAGCAGTGGGGCCCCCTGGGGTCCAGGGCCCTCAGGTACACTATGTCAAAACAATTTATTTAAACCTTTTGTCTGTTCATTGGTAAAACTGGTGTTTGGTTATGGGTAAACATTAATCACTATGATGAAAATTGATTTTCATCAGTAATACTGATCCTTTTGTTAATGATGCTCAGTACAGTACTGTGATTTAATAAAAAATAGATCTGAGATTTTAAGTTAAGTTCATTCATCCAGATTAGGAAAAACTTCCAAAAATCCCACTTCCTGGACACCTCTTCTGGCTCAGTGGGGCGAAGCCTGAGGTTTCCCCAGGCCAACCAAGAGACATAGTCCTTTCATGTTATCCTGGGCTACTCTCTGGGCCTCCTCCTGGAATGTGAACGTGCCTGGAACACCTTCCAGCGGAGGCATCCATGGAGGATGGAGAAGGAGAAGCAGCTCTCCTCCAAGCCTCTTCCTGATGGCCAAGCTCCTCACCCTATTTCTAAGGTGGAGCCCAGCCAGGCTGCAGAAAAAGCTCTCTCAGCTGCTTGTATCCAGGACCAAATTTTTTTTGGTTATGATCAATATCTCATAATCATAGGTAAAGTCTAGATCAGGGGTCTTCAACATTTTCCAGACTAAGGACCCCAAAACTGAAGGCGAGATGGAGCAGGGTCCCCCTAATTATATTTATTGTATGAAAGTGTGTTCTATCAAACTGATCCTATAGTGTCTCTATTACAGATTGAGTAATTTAAGGAAAGTAATTTCTCCCTGGGATTATTAAAGTATTTCTGACTCTGATTCCTCATTGATGGGACAGGTGTTGTGAATGAAACGGTACCCAGCTTGAAAAAGCTCCTGTGTGTCGCTGAATGTGTGCATTGAAGACTGAAAGACATCTTCTACTTCCATTTATCTGTTTACTACAGTTGTTGAATTCATGTTAATGTGGATTTAAAGACATTTCAATTAGTG